TCCGTTAGACTGGGGGGAAAGAGGGAGAGGAGGCGGAGAAGGAAAATTATACCAAGAAGGCTAACTATTTTCCAGGAAGAGCAGCTAGTCACATCGGACCACAAAGTTCTGCTTCAGCTCCGGTTTGGGAGAACTTTCTTTCTCACATATTAGCTGTGCAACTCTAGGCAAGCTAGTTGTCATCTCTGTTTCTTCATCTGTCGAATAGGAATAATAATAATAAAACCTATCTCATAGGAAGGCTGTGAGGATTAAATGAGTTAATGAATGCAAATGGCTTAGAACAACATCCTGCACATAGTAAGCAATCAATAAATGCTAGATATTGTTGCTATTAGTATTATAAGAGAGTAGCTCATAGAAATATAAGAAGTGCTATGAATAAAAGTGCATATAGGGTGCTTCAGGAATAGAGAGCTCACACTTGGCTGAGCTAAGAGATCATAAGAGCCTGAGTTAAGGGAGAAACTAGGGAAGGAAAGTACAAATGATAGATGCAAGAAATAATATGGAGGAAAAATCCAAAGCTTAGTGACCCATGACATCCAGACGTATCTATATTTATAGATTTTTGAAAAAACCCCATATTATTAAGATGTCAGTTCTCTCCAAATTATAGGTTCAACATAATCCAAGCTGAGGCTAAAATTTATAGGCATATGCAAAGAATCAGAGAGGCAAAATAATTTTGAAAAAGAAAAATGAAGTTGGAGAGTGTCAAGAGCTGCTATAAAGCTATGGTGGACAACACAACATGGCACCAGCAAAGGACAGCAAGGAGGTTGATGGAGTAGACTAGAGAGTGCAGAAATAGACTCACCCTTGTCTGGTCAGTTAATTTATGACAAAGTTACAAAAGCATTTAAATAAGGATTGGGAAGCCTTTTCATAAATGGTTCTGGAACAAGTTGATATCCATATGAGGTTAAAAAATGAACCTTGACTCTACTTCACACCACACACAAAACTTAGTTTGAGGTTGTCTTTAATGCATGCGGGTTTGGTTTGCAAGGACCAGTGAATGGTGCCCCAAATTCCTGTTTGTTGGCACACTGTTGAGGCTACTGAGAGCCCACGTTCCTGAGACTTTTCCCTTTCCACAAGAGAATAAAAGAGGTCAGATGATGGCAGCAGTGTTCTTAACAGCCAGGCCTCAGGAATCAGTGACTTTTGAGAACACGGATGTGTATTGCACTGAAAAGGAATGGGCAAGCCTGGTGCCTGCTCAGATCCTCATGTACAGGGTGGGATGCTAGAGAACTATGGGGCCTGGGCTTTCCTAACATCATCCACTTCCAAACCAGCTCTGATCTCTCAGCCTGAGCAAGGGAAAGAGCCATGCTTCATCCAGCCACAGGAAGCCCCAAACAGGAGGAGCAAGAGATCAGGTCCTGCAGGGTACATCTCAAAAACAGGATTTACCTACTTAGCTAAGATCTTATCACATGTAATAAAATTTAAAATTCTTTAAAATCATCAGTTATGAGAAGACAGGACAAGCTTTAACCAGTTTTCAAAGTAAGAAGTTGATTTAAAACCATTGTAAATTACGTCAAATACACATTTTCTTTTTCTGTAGACTAATAGATTTAATGTTTTCAATTCATTAAAGTTATTAATTTTAATGTACCAAAATAGTTAATTTGAGAAGGACCATACACGTAAACATAAAAGCTGACACTATAAAATCTCAAGAAGAAAAATGTAAGAGAATATCTTCTCAACTTGAAATCCAGCAAAAATATTTTGGACAGGACACAGAAATTAATAAACATTTTTTAAAATGATCAAATTACAATTCAAGTTAAATACTTCAGGTCATCATAAGAAAAATGAATTAAATGAATAGGTAAGCCACATAATGATATAAAACATATTTTTATGATAAAGGACTTATATCCAAAATAAAGTACTATAACAGACATAAAGATCAACTGATCTAGCCTGGCCGACATGGCTCATTGATTGAGCATCAACCGTGAACCAGGAAGCCACGGTTCGATTTCCTGTCAGGGCACATAACCGGTTGCGGGCTCAATCCCCTGTGTAGGGTGGCCCGGAGGCAGCTGATCAATGATTCTCTCTAATCACTGATGTTTCTATCCCTCTCACCCTCTCCCTTCCTCTCTGAAATCAATACAAATATATATTTTTTTAAAAAAAGATCAGTTGATTTTGAACAAAGGTGTCAATGAGGAGAGAATAATCTTTTCAATATAGTATAGTGGGACAACTGGATATCCACATGCAAAAAAATAAAATAATATTGGACCCCTTCTTTATACCATACACAAAAGTTAACTCAATATTGATCAAAGACCTAAGTGGAAGAGCTAAAACTACAAATTCTTAGAAAACATAGTTGTAAATCTTTGTTACCTTGAATTAGGCAATAATTTATTAAATATACACCAAAACCACAAGCAAAGAAAAAAAAAGGTAAGTTAGACTTCATCAAAATTCAAATTTTTATGCCTCAAAAAGCACAACTGAGAATGAAAGGACAACGCACAGAATGAAGAATATATTTCTAAATCATATACCCAATAAGTATATGAGTTTATATTCAAAAAATATAAACTATTACAACTAAATAACATCAACAACAAAAACACAAAGGATCTGAATATTTTTCCAAAGACATATTAATGACCAATGAGCGTATGAACAGAAGATGTTCAACTTCACTACTTAGTCATTACAGAAATGCAAATCAAAACTACAATGAGGTATCACTTTACACCCACTGTGGTGGCTATAATTAAATAGATGGACAACAGCAAGTGTTGGTAAGGATTTGGAGAAATTAGAACCCTGATACTTTGCCGGTGGGAATGTAGAACGCTGCTGCCACTGTGTAGAGTAGTTCCTCAAATATCGAACATGGATTTACCAGGTGACACAGTAATTCCAATGCTAGAGATATACCTAGGAGAAATGACAATGTTCACTCAAAAACGTGTACACAAATGTCCAGAGCAGCATTATCATAATAGACAAAAAGTAGATAGAAACAACCAAAAAGTCCATCATCTGATAAGTGAGTCTACAAAATTTGGGATATCTATATGATGGGTGTTATTCAGCCTAAAAAGAACTGATTTGGGCTACATTATGAATGAACCTTGACATCATTATACTAAATGAAATAAGGCAACATATTACATTTCATGTTTATGAAATTTCCAGAATAGGCAATTCATAGACACAGAGGGCAAATTAGTGTTTTCTTGAGGCTGGAGGAAGGAGGTAATGGGAGTGCCTGCTAATGGGAATGGGGTTTACTTTGGGTTAGTAAAAATGTTCTGGCATCAGGTAGTGGGAATGATTACAAAAATTCATGAATATACTAACGCTTACTGAATTGCACACCTTTAAAAGATGAATTTTATGGTACGTAAATTACATCTTAAAAAAGAAGGAAGATCTCCTGCACCCCAAATTTAATCTTTTTTCCTAGAAGCAACTGTTATTTCTTGGGTAGCATTCCTGAAGTAGATTCTAGACATACAAACATGTATTTGTGTATGTATAGGTCCTTATTAAAAACAGAAATATGAGTATAAAGCAGATACATTGTCCTAGACATTTTTTCTGTCTTTACAATATAACTTCAAGTAGATTCCTCTTTACAATATAACTTGGCAGTTATTCCATTTCAGCATTTGGTCCTGAATATGCTATAATTTGGTTTGCTAGTATTCTGCTACAAATAATGTTGCAATTAATTTTCTTGTGTACATTTCCATGACATGCATACGAGTGGGATATGTTTCTAGAAGTTAAATTTCTGTATTTTATTTTAATAAACTGTCATTATTGACTTATGTCCTTCTTACTAGAACAGTGATGGCGGACCTATGACACGTGTGTCAGAGGTGTCACGCGAACTCATTTTTTTGGTTGATTTTTCTTTGTTAAATGGCATTTAAATATATAAAATAAATATCAAAAATATGTCTTTGTTTTACTATGGTTGCAAATATCAAAAAATTTCTATATGTGACACGGCACCAGAGTTAAGTTAGGGTTTTTCAAAATGCTGACACGCCGAGCTCAAAAGGTTCGCATTCACTGTACTAGAATGTGGGTTCTCTGAGGACATAGACCATTTCTCTTTTATTGACCAGGATAATCTAGAATCCAGAACATTGCCTGACATACTAGGGCTTTATATATTTGTAGATAATCAAGCCTGTGTGCTTTGATGTATAAAATGTCAAATGAAAATTTGAAGTACATCATTCAGGAAACAGACAATGATACAGTTTATAGAGACAGGAATTGTTTGGGGGTTTGTTTTCTTTCCATCCAATTGATTTTATAGTTTTTCTTTTAAAACTGTAGTATGTTTTCAAAAATTGTGGGATCAATTGCAATGTATCGTTATAAGAAATACAGAATCCTTCATTTCATTGGAAGACATCAACATGTTTTATTAAATAAATGCCTGATTCTTATATTTGAGTATTCTTGCCGTTATTGGAAGAGAAAGGGGGGGGGGGGGGCGGGCGGCGAGAGGGGAGATGGAAGTTGATTTGCAACTTTAGGAGACCTAATAGTGACACCTGCTGGAGAAAATGTCAGAATAGGTTGAAGGATCTGCTGTTTTTTGTTTTTATAAATATGTTTTATTGGTTTCAAAGAGGAAGGGAGAGGGAGAAAGATACAAACATCAATGATGAGAGAGAATCACTGATAGGCTGCCTCCTGCATGCCCCCTACTGGGGATCAAGCTGGAAACCCCGGCATGTGCCCTGACTGAAGCAAACTCTGACCTCCTGGTTCACACAACCACTGAAACACACCAGCCAGGCTAGAATAAGTTTTTAATCCTTTGACTTTTTAAAATTTTAGATCAGTTTGTTTCTATTAATCAGGAAGAAATTTTATATTTTACCATAGGAGTGCTTGTAATAATTATATAAATTGTTTACAGGAGATTCTTTGATGTTGATGTTCTAAAAAATTATAAATAAAAACATTTTTTCTTTTTTCAGGATAAAGTCATTTTGGGAACTGATTACCCCTTTCCACTAGGTGAGCTAGAACCTGGAAAATTGATAGAATCCATGGAAGAATTTGATGCAGAAACGAAGGTATATGCCTTTTATTTCATGGACTTCTTCCTGTTTTCCTCCTCTAATTATGTTTGGTTTCAGAGCACTCTGATATGTAATATCAAAGAACAGGAAATTTTTACACTTAATATTCTTATAATTGTTACCAGATCACCAGAAATACTAGTAGATGAATTATTAAAGGACCAAAAGAAGTTTAAAAGCTGAAAGTCAACCTACTACAACTAAATTTATAAAGAAAGAAAACTGCAAAGAAGCATATCATGATAATATATTTATGTTTGCACGTTAGAAGAAAAATGTCTAAATTTTTAATTTAATATTTCTCTTACAATCTACCCATCTCAAAAATTGTAATGATTCTAGTAATTTGAATATTGAGACTAAAGTCTTGATTAACAAGGACCCAAGGACAAGAACCCTCAAGTAACTGGGTGTTTTTCTTTCGGCATGTGACTTTTAAGGTGGGTAAATGTGCCATAGTGCTGCCACTGCCTGTTCTACCCCTGAGGCTCCTGAACCAAGTAGAGTTAAAATGAGATGCATTGTCCCTGATTCTCTCTCCCTTGCCATCCCTGACATCCCCTCCCTCACGCCCCGCAACAAAACAAGTTCTTCTGGAGGTCTTCACCACCAATCACTACACAGGGTTAGGGATGGCCAAAAATAAAAACATGTGGATATACAGTATGAACTCTTAACAAATCTCACAAGTCATAGTCATAATCCTTTTGTATAATACTTGGCTTTCTTCTAAACTAGAATCCATAAGTTCTCTTGGTCTCTAATTCTCTGCTCTAATCGTTAAGGATTTAGTGAAGCACATTAACAAATGCCAAGAAGAATCCACTCTGCTTACTGGTTGCAAGTTATTAACTGGGAAACCTGAGATTCCCTTGGCACTGACTCACCTTAAGGCACTTATAGTCTTGAATTGTTAAATATGTTCTTATTAAAGTAGGAAGCCATAATAAGATTTTTGTTTTTTACTTTTTCTTTTTACAACAGAGGTTGAAAATGAAAAACTATCTATAAAATTAATAAAAATTAAACTGAAACCAGATTACCCCAAGCATCCTGATTAAGAGTTTAATGGAATAATTACTTTGTCTTTTATTATTTAATTTTATGTGCTTATCACTTTCAAGTTTTAAAATATCTTGTATAAAAATTTTATACTGTCACAAATAAAAATGACATTTTGTACAAAGTTAATCATTGCAACATTGCCTGTAATAAAAGACTAACAACAATCTATAGGAGAATAGTTACATAAATAATAATGGAATCTATACAGCTATTAAAAAAAAAACACTAAAAATCAATTTATAAGATATATTAAATTAAAAAAGCAAGGTGCCAAACAATATATATAGTGTATTTCCATTTGTGTATAGTATACTATCCATTTGTGAAAAAGAATCTCTATATACCTAAATATAAGTATTTGCTTATATGTGTATAAAATATCTCTAGAATAACAGGTAAGAAACTAATGGCTGCACAACCTTGTGAACACACTAAAAATCATTAAATTATACACTTTAATGGGTTAATTATATGGCAGGTTAACTATGCTTACTAATAAAAGGCTAAGTAGTCATCACACCCTCACATGCGATACCCTCACACCGTCACAAGAATGCTGTGCGCACAGCAGAGGCAGGGTTCCCGCGGCCCTGCGCCTCGGAGGCCGGCCACTCAGTGCAACATCTGCCAGGGTTCACACAGCCCCATGCCCACCACGGAGGCGGGACCCCGGCTCCGGCCTACCTCTTTGGGGCAATTCATCAAGGAGCCCCGGATGGGTGGGCGGGGCCTACCTCTTTGGGGTGATGGATTGCAGGGCTCCCACACTGTGAGAGGACACAGGCCAGACTGGGGATGTCCCCACTGAGTGCACAAATTTCATGCACTGGGCCTCTAGTATCTCCAGAAAGCTGTTGCAAAGTATATAAATAAAAATATATTCCATTACAGAAAAAAAGAATGGCTATCTCTGGGAAGATAGCATCCATTTTATAATTTTGAATTTTGAGCGCCAAAGCTCAAAACTTGATCATGATATCTAGATGTATATATGGTATGGATGTTATACAACTCCATACATGTTTCCTTCCACCCTCAGCTACATGCCTGAACTTTGCAAACTGGACAATTTTTAGTTAGCGTATCAAAGTTACCTTTCAAATTACAGGCGTTCTTTAGTTTATAGAAGTTCATTTAGTTTATAGCTGGGAGAAGGTGAAAAAAATTTGGCAGTCCTTTTCTAATGTGAAATTGATAAACATACACATTTGTACATTTATTCTGAGACTCTTCATCTATATCACTTTTCTTGCTCTGAAAGAGTTCCCTTTTATTTGGGACCATGCAAAAGGACAACACGTGCCTGGAAGCTGGGGGTGGCTACATGACTTCCAGCTCTGCTGTTCCACAGTCCTAAACTGAACCTTTTCTCTGTTTTGCCTCCAAATAGTCCTTAAAAACCATTGAGAGTCCTATTGAAGTTACCAAAGAGCATTTTCCTAAGAGAGTTCTCTCTCCCCCTTATAATTTCCTCCTTTCCTCCTACAACCAAGTTTCAAACATGGGGCAAGAGGATTTGGGTAAGAGATTCATTATTTAACCTGCTAATATTTTTCTCTCACGTTGGGGAATTGATTTTTTTAAAACCTGATAAAGACATTCAATAAAGGACTTAAGAACAACCATTAAATAATGCTTTAAAATAAAACCTTTTCTTTTTTACTTTTTTTTCAGGACAAACTCAAAGCTGGCAATGCCCTAGCATTTTTGGGTCTTGAGAGAAAACAATTTGAATGACTGAATTCACTACAAAGGCAATCTTTCAAGAAGATATTTTATTCTTGTTTTTAAATATGTATCACACGTGCATATTAAAATCCTATTTTGAACTATTTTATCCAGAAATAGAATATCCCTGAATATCCTAAATTATACATAACAAAAATGACTCACATGTGTTTTTCACTCTGAAAAGCAGTACATTATTTCACATGCAAACCAAAAATGATTTTTCCAGCACTTTAAAAATTAATAGCAGAAATAAAATGCAAAGTGTCATTAATGCTTTATATGGAAAAAGCAAAACTAGATTCACCCTCGAGGACTCAAGTAGGTTCTCCACTTTGAGCAAGTATATGTGCTGAGGGCCCAAATAACCCATTTTTATTCAATTTAAACACCTTCCATTGGCCTGTAACTGGTCTGGGAATGCTTTAGATGCCACAAACTAAATGCTGTAAATATTTCATAACCTGTAGGAGCTTATAGTTCAAATACGGAGGCAAGTCACATGTTCATGAAATAATTACTAAGCAATGCAACGTGAGTGTCACAGAAGTTTCAGGAAAATTCATCCGGACTCAAACTTTTGGGGGAATCGTCACCGAAGTTGGAACTTGGAGCGAGTCTAGAAGGATGGAAGAGGCTTATGGAGAGTTGGAGGTGGTAAACACATAGGAAGGAAAAACTGGGAATAGAGGTTTCAGACTAAATGGCAATTTATTCTGGAGAAAAATTCCAGGCTATAATTTACTTTTACCAGAAGCTATTTTAAAATACTGAGTAGAGCGTGTAAAGCTAGCCGTGGAGACTGAGAGCAGAGCAACACCAGGGTAGCCTTACTCTCTCACTTCATTTATGGTCCTACCTGGGCTGCTGAAAATGAACTTGGAGGGGTGATGAACATGTGTTTTGTGTACCTCTGGCTGAATTCCAAAATCAAATATAATTTTTCAAAATTACCCTCTTGCTTTGACTGATTAATGCTCATATTCCCTCCCATTGGCCCAGAAAAATTGAGTACTGGCATGTAATTTATGCTAATATAATTTTTGCTAAACTACATCTATCCCATTATTTTTACTTTACTTAGTACATTACTCCATCTCTTTGTTGCTCCTCCTATTGCTTTCTACTACTTTACTCACCCACCGCTCTGCTTATTACGCCAATCTACCTGAAATGGAAAACAAGGTTGAACAAAAGAGCAACATGAAGCATGTTATTTTTCCTTCCCCATTATTTAGGGAAAAGGTCCATCCCTCCTCAAATATTCTATATTTGAGCACTTTTTAACATAATGTTTAATTACTGTTTTATCATGAAAAGTAACCTGATCATTTCAGTAAATATTAATATCATAGATAGGTTGATAAATAGATAGATAATGAGGATATTCATATTCACAGAGTGTTTACGTGATGTGCAAGCTGTAGCACTGGGGATATAGAATAAAAGGGATAAAGAATAAAATTTCTTCTCTAATGAAGCCTACAGTCTGGAGGGTAAGAAATATAAGGAGGGAGAGAAGAAGGAGAAAGGAGGAACGGATTGGAGGGGAAAAGGAATGAAGGAAGGAAATTTTTCTGATAAATACGATGAAGCAGTTAAAATGGGGAAATGTATAACAGGACTATGAGAAGGATGGGGAATAAGACATTAAGTTGTAGGATCAGAGAAAGCCTCTTTAAAGAAAACTTTAAGACTTGAGTGATAGAACAGTAATAGTTAGAAAGCCCTTGTTTTCCATTTCAGGCAGATTGGCGTAATAAGCAGAGCGGTGGGTGAGTAAAGTAGTAGAAAGCAATAGGAGGAGCAACAAAGAGATGGAGTAATGTACTAAGTAAAGTAAAAATAATGGGATAGATGTAGTTTAGCAAAAATTATATTAGCATAAATTACATGCCAGTACTCAATTTTTCTGGGCCAATGGGAGGGAATATGAGCATTAATCAGTCAAAGCAAGAGGGTAATTTTGAAAAATTATATTTGATTTTGGAATTCAGCCAGAGGTACACAAAACACATGTTCATCACCCCTCCAAGTTCATTTTCAGCAGCCCAGGTAGGACCATAAATGAAGTGAGAAGGGCTACACCCAGATTAAAGAGGAATTTACCCATCTTTCTTCTAGTGCCTGCATAGCTTCATTGTCTTATGGTTAAATCTTTGACAATGTTGGAGTTATCCTTATATATGATGTGGGGAATGCATCTAATTTTATTGCAGCATTATTTGTTATTGTAAAATATTGGAAATTATATATTGTCCGAATGTAGGAGACTAAACAAACTATAGTACACACATGTACAGATACCTAGGAGTCAACCTTGATTCTTTCTTTCCTGTCCTCCCTCTTCCTTACATTCAGTCCATCATCAAGTGCTGTTGGTTCTACCTATGACATCTCACAACCTCATTCTATTATTCTTGCCCAAGTCATCGTCATTTCTTGCCTAGTCTCCTTACTATCATTCTTGACCCCTTAAGTAATTCTCTACACAACTGCTAATGTGGGTTTTCCTTTAAAAGAAAAATATAAATCAGACCATATCACAGACTTATCTTAAAAAGTCCAATGGCAAAAAATATAAAATAAAAACTCCAATGGCTTCCTATGAAACTTATAAAAATCTAAGCTCTTGATCATGGCCTACTTATCTAGCCAACTTTCCAGCTTCATCTCCTACCTCTTTTCCCCTTGTTCACAAACTCTGCCACAAGCTCTTTCCTGCATAAAATCAATAAGGAAACATCAGCTTTAAACAGCACATTAGGCCAGAACATTCCATCCAAAAGCAAAAGAATATGCATTCTTTGCAAGTGCGCATGGAACATTCTCCAGGAAAGATCATATGTTAGGCCACAAAACAAGTCTTAATAAATTTAATGAGATTTAAATCAGATCAAGCATCTTTTCCAAACAAAAGAGTATCAAAATAGAAATCAATTACAAGAAAACTGGAAAATTCACAAATATGTGGAGATTAAACAAAGTACCACGGAACAACCAGTAGGTCAAAGAAATAAAAAATAAAACTCAAAAAAGACATAGGAAAATGGAAATACAACACACTAAAACTTATGGGGTATAGCAAAAGCAGTTCTAAGAGGAAAGTTCTTGGTGATAAATGCCTGCATTAATAAACAAGAAAAGTCTCAAATAAACAACCCCACTTTACATATCAAGGAATTAGAAAAAGAACAATGAAGGTCAAAGTTAGTAGAAGGAAGGAAATAACAAAGATCAAAGTAGAAATAAATGAAATAGAAACTAAAAAGACAATAGGAAACAGATGGGGACTAGGCTGATCACTTAGTAAGTTATATAAATGTCTAATCACTATGTTGTACACCTGAAACCAATATAATATTATATGTCAACTATAATTGAAAAATAAAAATTATTTGTAAAAAGACACTAGAAAAGGGCAATGAAACTAACTCTGACTTTTCTGCGCACATAATTCAGCCTCTGAGATATACTAGTAGTTAATGGTATTAAACACATCCATGCTTTAGACATATTTACTTAAGGAGCAGGGTAGATTTACTACCATTTACCATGATGAGGAACATGATGGGATAGGCAGGCTTGGGAGGGAAGAGAATCAATAGTTCCACTGTTGGACTTCTTATATTTCAGATGCCTCTTGGACATTTAAGTAGGAATATCCAGTAAGCAGTTGGGTATACTAGTCTGGAGAGTTCAGGAGAGAGGCTGGAAAGAGGTCATCAGTATATATAAGGTATTTAGAGAAATAAGACTGGGTGAAATCGCCTGGAGAAAAAGTAAAGGAGAGAACTAAAAGAACCCACGGCTGATGTCAGATGGCAGAACCAGCACTGGTAGCAGCCAGTGAAATAGGAGGAAAACAAAACAAAACAAAAAAGCAGTATTCTGAAGTCAAGGGAAGACAGCTTTCAAGTCCTCACAGCTTTAGGCATAAAAAAGAAAAAAATCAAAGCTATAATACTATGGTACCTTAAAGAATCATATGCCCAAATGTAACTTAACTTAAATCTCTTTATCTCAAAAGTTAGTTCTACTTCCTAAATTACCAACTCTGGTTAATGGCATCACCAGTCACCTAAATCCTCTCCTTCACCCATATCAAATCTGTCATAAATCCAATAAATTCTACCACTTTTATATCTTTATTTCTTATCTATCCTTTCTTCTTTATGGCTTCTAAATATATTCCAGTCCTCATCTCTCACCAGGACTATTAAAATAATTTCTTATTTATAACCCCAACTCTGGGCTTAGTCTGATAAAATCCATCTGCCACCCTGTTGCCAGAGGAAAATTTCCAAAGTACATATCTGATCATATTACTCCCTCTCTCAAAATTTCTCATGAACTAAAGTAGTGGTTTCTAGTTTGGGGGATTTCCTTGATCAATACCTCCTCCTTTTAAAAATTGTACTGATATCCTATATACTAAAGAGGTAATATGCAAATTAACCCTCACGCCCTCACAAGATGGCTGCCTACGACCAGGCCGGCAGGGGGGTTAATGAGGGATGACCAAATGACTGAACAAGCAGGATGCGTGGGGCGACCAGGCTGGCGGGGGGGGGTGGGGGGAGGGGGCGGTATGAGAGGCAACCAGGCCAGCAGGGGGGGCAGTTAGGGGTGACCAGACCAGCAGGGAGGGCAGTTAGGAGCGATCAGGCCAGCAGGTAGTTGACAGTTGGGAGCGACCTGGCCGGCAGTGAGGGGCAGTTAGGGGAGACCAGGCTGGCAGGGGGGCAGTTAGGGGCGATCAGGCTGGCACGCAGAGGTAGTGAGGGGCCATAAGGCCAGCCAGGTTGGGGCGGGGGGGTAGTTAGGGGTGACCAGGCAGGCAGGCAGGTGAGTGATTAGGAGCCAGCGGTCCAGGATTGTGAGATCGGGCCTAAACCGGTAGTTGGACATCCCCCGAGGGGTTCCAGATTGGAGAGGGCGCAGGCTGGGCTGAGGGGACCACGCCCCCCTCCCATGCACAAATTTCATGCACCGGGCCTCTAGTATCTAATAAAGCACACCTCTCATTTTAAATTGTAATTGCTACCTTCACACT